TTATCAGGCTCTAACTTACTGTCCCCTCCAGTCCATCCATGTTGTCACAGCTGGCAAGTCTATTTCATGTGAGTCCATCTCATCTGACTTTCATCTAAATCTCTCTCTTATATATAGCACAATGAAAACAGCAAAGTTAAAATTCCAAGGAAACTGAAAATGACAATTCTCTTTAAAAGACAGTTTTTTCAAGTGGGAGGGGAGCATGCTTAATGATGGCAAATGAAATTTGGCTTGAGATACAAAAACATACATGCACTCATTTTCTCTGGACTCTTTTAGGAAAGAAAAGTTAAACAGGGAGGAAATAGGTCCTTGTAAAATTTGTTTGAATTGGATGTTCCTGAAGTCAAAAATAAGTTTTTATCAGACAGCTCTTAGAGATGGTATTAGATCAACCAGAGAAACTTATTTCATTTCATATTCTAAATTATCCATTGGTTGATTCAATATTTGCAGTTCATGATGCATTTAAGTCCATTAGTAAAAATAATGTTATATAAGACATGAGCCAGTAAAACAGATGGGGAATACTTCTGAAGAGCTAGCAATTCTATATTCTATGAGTGTTTCATAATCTGGGATCTGTAGAAGCAACAGAATCGAAGATATTTAATGTGGAAATACTCTGGCAGGGTTACTTTAATTTCTGAAATTATAGATTGTGTTCTGAGCTGCAGCTTCTCCTTCCTGGAAAGATCACTGAAATATCTTTATGCTTTTCCTCCCATTTGACATCCTCGCCCCTCTGATCCTTTCTTGCTCATATTTGTGTGTGATACCCTCACTCCCCCCCACCTCCAAATCCACTCAAAATGCTGGGCTTTCTGCTCTCTTTCTGAACTTAAGAAGAACTGGTGGGTTGATGTTGGAACTGGGATAAGAACTTTTTACTGAAATTGGGCAAGTCACTTAACCTCATGTGCTTTCACTTTCTGCTGGTAAAATGAGGCTCATGTTTGTCTCCCTCCTGCCTTATATGGTTGTTGTAAGGATAAATTTAGTCAGTCATGTAAACAGGCTTTGAGTTCTGCATTCATGAGAATGCTTGTAATAGGCTTTTAGAGTGATAACAATCAGAGGCACTTTTATTTCAGTTTCTACTACAGCAGGAATTTAGATTTGAACACAGACTCATCCACCCAAGGACACAGGATACAAGCGAAGCTGGAGAGCTGTTCTGTGCAGACCTGAGACTCTGGAGAATTCTTTGCTAGATTTTGTTGTACCTGTGACACCTGGGAAGTTTTGGGGCTCTTGCCAGTGGAGCCTATCAAATGCTGCTCTGTTCCTTCCGAGTTCCGTTAATACAGCCACTAGCTCTCTTTCAAGGCCAGTTGTTGTTGGAAAAAGATACTCCTCACTGGGGTTGCCTGAGTTCTCAGAAGCCTGTGGGATGTAAGGAGGGCTCGCAGGTGCCGCCCAGTGTTGTGACCCTTTGTCGCCTTGCCTGTCCTTGCCTGTGTCTGTGATCTGTGTCACCTTTGTTCCAAACACTCAATCCAGGTGGACTCGGGTCTCTGCTCTGCTTTCAGGGGTGCTAGATGTAGATTGCAGAAGTTACCGATGATTCTTGGGGGGCTGAAGACAATCTTTCCATTAAAGAGATCAGTCTCAAGGCAGCAATAACAGCTGAGTTTGAGCTGGCTATGCCTTGCCACACTGCAGAGCCACCAGCCACCCTCGGCTCTGCACCTCAGTAAAGCCTAAAGCTCAATGAGTCAGTGGGAATTGTATTTGACCTCAAGTAAGATGGCATGAAGAACAGTGCGCCAAATCGGAAGGGGGTCAACTTACAGTTATTATAATGATTTCTGGCTCTGCCTTCATTTCCATTCTCACCTCATGGTCATAAAGCAGCCATGTGCTAGTCAGCACTCTGCTAAAGTAGCATTCTAGAAGCCTCACTCAGGAACTTTCATTTATATACAACTAGCCAGAATTTAGTTTCTCGCTACCTAGCTGCCAGGGAGGATAGGGAAAGTAGTTTTGGATTACTAATTCATTCTCTACTCCAAAAAAAGTCCATTCTGTTTTAAAGACAGGGAAAATAAAGACAGGAAAATACTGATAGCACACCACATTTTCTGCCACATAAGCCGTTTATGCTGCACAGCAGCAGCTTCCTATTGCTCGCATGTGCTGTCAGGCTCTGCAGGTCTAAGGGTACCTGCCCCCACACCTTCACATTCTGAAAGGCATTTGTGTGTCCTCCCCAGCATCACTCAGCCCTTAGAGGGCCACATTTCCTGACGCAGCTTTTGCAGGACCTGCCGTCATAGTTATCATCTGCCTCCTTCCTTCTTGCATCTCCACTATCACGACTGCAGCCAACAGGCCAATATATTCTGGTTCCAGTTGTTCATATCTGCTGTGACGCTGCCCCACCCCCCACCAGCCTAGGATAACGCATCACATGTCACCTATGTGCAATACCTGTTTATGGAACCATGCTGGCAAGATTATAGGAAAACTTTCCCAAAGGTGCTCCTTTTTTGCATGAGAAAATACTTGGTTATATCAGCATCAGGAGCGTCCTGTCCCACGGGGGATGAGCCGTTGGCAGATACATAAGCTCCGGGGAACCTCAGGGATAGGCTGTTGGCTAGAAGTGCAAACACGGGTTGGAAGAAAACACTGGCCCTGAACACAAAAGAAACATCAGCAGTCGCGCCTCTAGGAATGTGTGCATTTGATGAGTGCCAGGTTGGGGTGCTCAGGAGGGCACAGTAAAACTCCTGAAAGGCTGTAGACCTGGTCATCCAGCTAAGTGGGGGTCAAGAGGCTAAAGCAGCCTGGGGCTCAAGTATAATTGTTTCATGAATGTTTCATGAACATGACCTTTTTCATGTTTCAGGTGGAGCTTTCTAAACGACTTTTGCATATTTGTAGAGCTCTTGCACATTCCAGCTATTCGGGGAGGCTATTACCTGGGCATAGATTTATGGCTGTAGATGTCTCTGCTTTCCTTTTCAAACTGGCTTGATTCCTAAAGATGGCATTCGTAGATTGTGTCCACAGAGGAGCAGAAGGGCCTCCTGGAAGGCTCATTTCTTCTCCCAGATCTGAACAAAGGCACTTCCCTGGGATTCTCACACCGCATCTACAGCCTGATTCCAGTGCTTACCCAGGAATGTCCTGACCTTCCCACCAGCTTTCTGGTTGACTCCGAGAAGCAGCGCTGTCCAGGGCTCATGGTGAGGCAGGTCCAGCTGCAGGGGCAGGAGGCCGGGCAGGAATGTCTGGAGGCAAAACTGGCACCTCATCCGGGGAGTACCAGGCAAGGGAAGGCTTTTGAGAGTTGCATGAGCAAGTGCAGAAAACAGGAAAAGTAGCATGCATGTCGGCTTCCCAGGAGTGTTAGTTTGCAGGGCATTTTGCGGGGGACAGTTATCAGCGAGCTGGACATAGGGTTAGTGTGGACCCCGGCACCTGGCGTGTCCATCCACATGGTTGCTGAAGCCCGCTCTGCCTCTCTGGGCCATGAACCATGCCTTCCCTCATTGGCTGCCCAGTCATCCCGCACATATCACCTGGCGACACTCCAGAGTTTTCACTGGACATGGTCATTCTCCCCATGAAAATAAACTTCCAGAAACTTCCCATTTCCTGTAGAGAAAGTGTGTGCTCCTCCTCCTATAACCTAGGGAACATCATCTCCTGGTCACAGCACCTGTTACTGCCTGCTGCTCAGCCCTCTGATACCTCGCTGGCCTCGCGCTTCCTCACTACCTATGAGTAGATGGCTCTCTTCTGCCACTTAATGTCTCCTTCTCTGGCTTCCCCTTCTGTCCACTTTGCTCCAGGACCTAGCTCTGCTCTCCAGTGAGGCTTTCTGTGCAAATTGACAGGGGCTGGCTTGTGTGATGGCTTCTTCACAAATGTCACCCGTGCCTCCCTTGTGATCCTAAGTTAATGTTGCCAGTTGAAACATGAGACTGTCTTGTGACTTCCTCTGGTTTGTTGGCTCTGGGGTCAGTGACCCCGCTTCATGATGCTCCCTCTGCTGTCTAGTGTCAGATGTGGCGCCCCTCTGTGTTTTGGCTGGATGGTTCTCGTGTGGGGGGACTGCTGAGGCTTGGCAATGTCTGGTGGCCTTCCTGTACGGACGCCCGATGCCAGAAGCACCCTCACCCCCTGCCTGACCTTCCAGAACGTCTCCCTTTATGCCAGATATCCCAATAGGGCAGAAATGCCCACAGTGGAGAATTGTTGGTAGAGAGTAAAATCCAAGCTGTGTCTTGGCAGGCATTGGAGACCAAGAATATTGGATGATTTTACAGCTTCCTGGGGTCTCAAGGAAAGGCATCAGGGGTGGAAGGTAGTAACTGTAAAATAGAACATGGCGCTTCCTGGCGTTGGCCGCAGAAAGGCTGTGAGACTGGTGGGCCTCGACTTGAGCTTGGAGTTGAGAAACAGCAAGATACTTGCTTAAGTTGAAGGTCCAAAAATACCGAGTTATTTTGAAACATTCCATACTTGGAGGTATCCTTTCCAATAACATAAGCGTGTTGTTATTTAACTGGAAATTTATTACATAACCAGTATTTTTGGATTAAGGATTATTTTTGAAGTGTATTGAGGAGAATGTGTCTCAAATCACCGGTGCAAGTTATTGTGAAGGGGTAACTCTTGCTAAACATCCCTGGTGTTTATACCTAGTCTTACGTCTTCTTTCCCTTTCTTTGACTTTGCATATTGTCCTCAAGTTCAGCAAGTCTCCCAGTCCCACGTCTGTCTGTCTGTCTCTTTAACACACACCACATACACAACAGTGTGGTGTGCGTGTCCGTGTGTCTGAGTGTGTGTGTGTGTGTGTGTTGTGTTTGTGCTCCTGTGTAATCCAGGCAGTGCTCACCACTCCAGGACACAGTGATTGTGTATATTTCTGCTCCCCGGGACTCAGTTCTCAGGTGATGTTTTGTCATCAAGCTGGTACATGATGTAGGACTACATGTTGGTGTGCGCTGAAGATAACACCCGGCATCCTCTCTTCACAGCTGTGTGCCAGCCACAGTGCAAACACGGCGAGTGTATTGGACCCAACAAGTGCAAGTGCCACGCCGGATACGCCGGGAAGACCTGCAATCAAGGTAGGGGACTGGCACACAGGCAGTCACCTGCGCCCTCACTGCTGCTCAGGTGCACGCTCAGCTCTCCACTTCTCCGTGGTTCTTGTGCCCAAATATGTGAGCTGCCGTTTTGCTGAAAGATAAAAATAAGTAACAGTCAGTCTTTTAAAATGTGTTACCTCGAGGCTAGTTACAAGGATTTCATCCTCTTGTTCACTGACACTGGTTAAATGGGCAGGGAGGGATGTCATACCTTCTGTTTCTCTGTGTTCTGCTGATGGGGAGCCCAGACCATTGTCAGCCTCCTTGGACCCCAGTGAGAGGGGACCCCTGGATCCCACAGAGTCAGGTGGGGGGTTTGGCCACCAGTGGCGTGGGCCCTGCGTCTCACAGCCCTTTGTACTGTGATGAAAGTCCCTCAGTGTAACTGGCCTGCGCTCGGAACATTACAAAGATTTTGATGAACTTAGCAAGGTATTTTTAATTGGCACCAGGTTGCCTATAAAGGGAACATTTATTCAATACTAGCAGCACCTCGGGTATTTTACATACCTCTTTTCACCATTGTACCACCACCAGGAGGCAAAGGGTTGTTTATTGTTTAAAATGACACGTTTTCCATTTTTCATTACTTAGAGACCTCAGGAATATTAAGTGTCTTGTTCCAAGTCACAGAATTAGTTGGTAGAAGACCTGTGTGGGCTTGGAGCTGCTGTGTGTGTAAATCAGGCTCTTCCTTCCCACGGAGTTCTGGGTGAGGGAAATATCCCGGAAATGGCATCCTCTGAGACCTACTGACAGGTCTAGGGAAGCTCGTTTTCTCAGTTAATTCAACCAGAAACCTTCTTTCCTGTTTTCTTTAGCTTGAAACGTTTTATTTAGGGGGTAAATGGGAATGAGTAAAGAAAAAAATTGACATTTCATTATTCTTTAAGTGACATTTTAATTTTGGAATATTTCAAAGAGTAAATTAATTCAACATTAAATACCACATCTGAGGATAAATGTAGGTGATTGTGAAATATTTTTGTGATGTGGTTGAGCTTTAATACATGCATTTTTTTTTCTTTTTCTCAATACCACCATCTCTGCATATCAACCAGCAGTATTCCTGCCCCAGTTTCCATTTGCTCATTTCATGATAGCCTGATACTGCTATCATCTGCAACCTAGGTGCTAACAAAACCAGAAGTAGACAGAAGGTAGAGTTAGCTTTCACTTGAAAAAATAAAGATAGTCTTATACTTCTTTCTTTTTTTTTTTTAAAGATTTATTTTTTATTTATACAAGAGCTGGGGTAGAGGCCAGAGGCACAGGAGGGTGAGAGGATTCACCAGACACAGAGTGGGGAGCAGAACAGGCAGACAGACCGAAAGCACTGCTGAGGGGAACAGTGGGCATGACAGGAGAGGTCTGCTGCGCCATGTGGGTATCTCCCTGGCCGGTGGGAAGGTAACCCGCGCTGCAGAAGCTGTGGACAGCTTCATAGTGCTGCGCTCAACCCGCTGTGCCACCGGGGGGGCCCTTACACTTATTTCTGAAAGCGATTCTCCCTGTCTTAAACAGCAGGTGAAACAATTGTGGGGCCCCACCGTCGCATACACTCACCTCATCTCACACTGAAAGCACCATCTACGCTTCAGTATCTCAGGTTCCTTGCAGGGGGTCATGTAATCTCATGACTTGGAGGCAGGGCTTTTCCTCAGTCCAGCACAGATATTTGCAGGTACTTGTAACTTCTGAGCTGTGAGGTGGAGTCGTGTCAGTAAACTGGGACATGCTAGTGGTCAGCACAAGCTTCATGGTAAAAAGTGGACTTTGGAATGTGCTGTTTGATGGACAGCTGGCTTTTTGCAGTCCTTCTTTTCTGCTTTATAGTATATATATATATATATATTTTTTTTTTTTTTTGTGTGTGTGTGTGGGGGGATCCTCGCCGGTGGACGGGGATCGAACTGGCGCTGCAGAGGCTGCAGGCAGCCTCGCAACCCAGCGCTCAACCGCTGCGCCACCAGGGGAGGCCCTATAGTATATATTTTTTTAGCTTGGAATTTACCAAACATACCTGGGTAGTTGATTTTGGAAATAACTAGGATTCCTATTATCTGAGTTTACTCTTTCAAAAATCACTGGATTTTTGTTTCCCCGTCTAAGGTCACCAGCTAGCAGCCTCATGGGCCCTGGTTATCGGTGTTCATCTTAGAACCCCAGCATGCTCCTTTTTTAAAAAAGTAATGAAAATAAAGCATCAGAATTTTTTCATTAATAGGTCAGCATCACTCAACCGTGTTGTCCTGATGCCAGGAATTTTATACAAAGAAGATAATTAAAAGAAGTCACTCTCAAGAAGGGAGGGAAATTCATGCCCACTTATTCCCAGGAGCTACAACTTTTTTATTTATTTTTTTTTAAAGATTTATTTATTTATTTATTTATTTATACAAGCACTGGGTACAGTCAGAAGCGCGGGAGGGTGAGAGAATTCACCAGAACCAGAGCGGGGAGCAGAGCAGGCAGAAGGACCGAAGTACACTGCTGAGGGGAGCAGCGGGCGGCAGGAGAGGTCTGCGCACCATGTGGGACCCTCCTCCGGTGGCCGGGGAGGGGATCGAACCGGCGCCGCAGAGACCTTGGGCAGCTTCGCAACCCAGCACTCAACCGCTGCGCCACCAGGGAGGCCCGAGCTACAACTTTTTTAATACACTTCCAAGACACTGAAACTGATTGCAATGGGGCTCCATCTTATTTTCAGAAAGCCAGTTTTACGGCTACTTTTAAAGTACCTGTATCTCCAAAGAGAAGCTGAAATACCCCAAATTAAAATCTTGTCTTCCACCAAATCCTATTTCTTTGGTGGACAAGGATTTTAGGAGTTAACCAAGTGGGATTTTATACCTGCAAAAGCTATGCTGGCATCAAATCCGTAATGTCAAGTCCAATCTTGAAAATAGAACTCTAGCTTACAGTGGGCCTATCTTTTAATCACCTCTTTCATCGCCTTCCTTACCAGAAGAAGCAGTGGTAGGCTCTTTATGGGAAGGCTGATGGTCTGTGCAAGCAGGAGCCCTCTGCACTGCCTCTGACATGGCTTCCTGAAAATGATCAGGACATTGACTTGCACACGCTAAGTGCACATGAGATCTTTATCGCGTAGTTTCTGTCTCAAACAGCGGTGCTTGATCATAGGAACTTAAAAGAGAGCACCACTTGGATGGGTTCTTGAAGCCTTGAACAGAGAGCACTGTCAGGGTAAGGGCTGCTGAGAGAGTGGGGTACATGGGAGGGTCCCCCAGAAATCTGCTCAGGGCAAACCATCTCTCTCTGCTCTGTGGAACACGAAGCTCAGCTGTTTTGACCCAGACCAGACCTGTTCATTAGCAGAGAACATGTCTCAGACTTGGGGCAGGTCAAACCAGTTTCTTTTTTCCTGGGGAGAGAAATGCTAAGTCCCCTGAAAGACTTTCACTGAGCTGGAAATGAGCTCTTGATTACGAAGTAGGTGTGAGTATAAGGCGGATTCTGGCTTAAAATTTTGTTGTGACTCGTGTGCTATGGTGCAGCAGACCTCTCCTGACCCGCCCTCGCCCGCTGCTCCCCTCAGCAGTGTACTTCGGTCAGTCTGACTGTCCTGCTCCCCGCTCTGTCTCTGGTGAATCCTCTCACCCCCCACACCTCTGGCCTCTACCCCAGCTCTTGTATGCATAAGTAAATCAATCTTTAAAAAAAAAAAGAAAGAAACGCATGTTGTATGCATGAAGAAATAAAAATAAATCTTAGGAAAAAAGAAAGAAATCATCCTTGGAAACTTGCGGGGTGAACTAAGTGCCTGGAGAGAATGCCTGGGGCTTTCAGAGCTGCCTAGGGGGCTGGGGAGTAGGGCCACCCCGCTGACATGGCCTCGTTCCCCCAACCCTGTCACAAATGAGCGTGAATCTGCGGGGGTTCTTGCTGGTCCCTCTGTGGTGGTCTGGATTTGCTATTACCCTGTTGCCTGTGAAATCATTCTTGTTCTCGAAGGCACGTGGGCCCTCTCCCAGCAATGGGATTCCAGCTTGAGCTCTTCCAATCTTAAGCACCACCCCCCCTTGCTTTCTCCAGTAATTTTATGCATGTGTGTTTTCCCCTCCTTGAGTCTCTGGACCCAAACACACCTCCTTCCCCTCAGCCAAAAAAAAAAAAAAAAACATAAATAAAACACAGATAATAATCTTGGCCTCGCTTTCCCATTAGGGAATGATTTTTGGCAGGTAACATGCCAAATCATTGCATGTTTTTAGAATTGAATGACATTCTTTTGAATTCACAGGGCACTTTGTAATAGTTTCAGAAGAAATAGTTTATAAATATCAGTCATGTTTTCACATGGCTGGGTTCACATGTAGGATTTCTTGTCCCAAGAAAAGCATCAGTGTGTGTGGGCAGAGGCTGAACCCTGGGGGGCTTGCTGCACCGAGAGGGGCGCCTGCGGAGCCAGCAGCCCCCACCCTAGCCCTGACAGAAAGGTGGTCCGAGCCTTTGAAAGGCCGCCCCAGAGCCACATTGGTCGGGCTGGGAGTTCAGCAGGCCGGGAACCCTGAGATATTTTGACTGCACCTCGGTCTCCCGCCTGCTGTGGCCACAGTCACCAGAGGCTTGGGCAGAGGCTTCGTGTGCGTACAGCGGCCTCCCATGCCTGCAGTTCTGGGGACAGTAGTCTCCTGCACCCACGCTTGGCTTGCCGAGGTCTCAGACCCTTGGGAAACCGTCTGAAAATCCTGTACACAGTTGGGTATTGTGAGAGAGGGAGGGAGAGAGGACATTCACTTAACTTGCATTATTGCGTATAGTTGTAGCTTCGTCACCATGGCTACTGTGAAGCTCTGACTGAGTCATTTATCATTTCAGCTTTGTCGGCTCAGGCACCCACTGGGGCCGCTGTGGATACGGGGTGGGGCGGGGGCAACCGTGTTCCGGTGAAGTGTGATTAAATGTAACATGCATTCTCCCATTGGAATGAAACCATGATGCTCTATCCTGCCATTTATTTAAATAAGATCTTTATGGAAGCCCTAAAGTGGTGCTTAGTTCTGGAGTTCTTGAAACCATTAGACCAGACGGTAACCGAGGGAGAGTCTTGAGCTGGCTCTGGGAACCTAAGCTGAGCCGGCTGATGTAGTCAGTGTTTATATCATCTGTGAGAAACTAAAGTGACTTGACAAGCTTTTCATAATGAGCATCTCTTCGTTTGGTGTTTTGGAGATACGCTGGTATGAGCGTGACGGCTGTCAGCTGGGCGCGCGTGTGATCTCAGGAAGCAGGTGGCAGTGGTGCATTCAAAAGGAAGTAGAAACTGAAAAAGCGTGAAGCGTTTTTTTTGGGAACTCCAACTTTATGTAATTGTTTTAATATATACTTATAAGGCTTTTTAGGACTAAAAATGACATCCGTTCAAAGTTGACTCTTATTGCCTTCTTCCTGGCCTGAAGACGAACACTTCTACCCACCTCCACCTCCTCTTGGCCAAGGCAGTGAGCAGCCTCTTGTCCACCCCCTGGATCTTCAAGCCACGAGTTTACCTGCGAGGGGTGAGCGTGCATCGTCCCAGGTGGTCTGCGCCCCACCTGCGCGGCTTCCTGTGCTCTCGTCCCGTCCTGCCCCCAGGCTGAGGACTCCCCTCTGGGGCGCCCAGCCCGCACCCTGAGCTTGTCCGTGTGCCGACTCTGAATCTACAAAGCCAGGCGCCTGCCCTGTCTTCCCCTGCCTCCAGCGCCGCTGCTTTCCTCCTCTGCTCTGGGCGCGAGTGCGCCGAAGAACCAGATAGCAAAGGAACACGTTCTCGGCTGTAGGTGAAGACAGGAATTCTGCAGCCAAGCTAGGGGTGTTGACAGCTTTTAGAAGCTTTGAGTCCCTTCCCCACCACCATAGTTGGGGGGTATTAGGTTTTCTGGGAATGGAACCATGCTTGGTCTCCTGCGCTTGTTAGCCATTCTGTAGCCTGAGAAAGCCTAAGGCCTGGTTCCAGCCTCAAGTAGCTGCTGGACGCATGTGAGAAAGCCCCTCTAGTGTCTGAGTCTCAGCAGATCAACCAGGGGTCCCGAGGGAGGACCCCTCACTTTGGGCCTGCTGGCCGGTGTGAAAACAGAAGCATCAAATTGACAGTGTCTTTCTGGTGCAGGAGAGCTCTGTAGAAAAGCGAGGTGGCACTGTCACCTCCACGGTTCTTTTCGTGAGACTTCATCTCCCACCTGCTCTGAGATTTAGGAACTTAGAATGATTGGTTTAAAATAGCTGGAATTAGGAGTCACCCTCTCCCCCAAATCGGAGCATGGTGCCGCTGTGTCTCCTGCACAGGAACTGGGCGGCTGGCTTCCCTGCAGATAGATCCCTTGACTCTCTAAAGGGTAGCATGGCCGTTACGGCAGTCAGCGTGTTCGTGTGACCTCCAGTTTACTTAACATAAAATGCAGAAGCTTAGACACCCGAGGCTGTGCACAGCGTCAGCCTCAAAGGGAAAAGTCCAGGTGCACGGAATGAATTTTGAAAGTTATTTCCTTGGGAGCCCATTGGGTTGTCTTAGTCACTGCAGCTCTTCCCAGTTTTTCATCTGCGTTCAGTGTCTGCATGTTGATAAAATTTCTGATTCTTTTTCCTGAAGTAATTGCAGTGCTGCGCAGCTTGCATCTCTGTTCTGGAGTAACTCCTCTCCCTCTCCCCCTCCCCGTACCCCCGAGTCTCCTACCTGTGTGAATATTCTCCTCCCTACCACCCATGTTCCCTGACAGCTGCACACGTGACGATGACAGCACGTGAGTGTGGTGGGGAACTGTAGAGTTCTGTCCTCGGATATGATGACAAAGGTACATGGCAAAGTTCATAAACTGTCTCATTACACATTTTTAATAGTGATAGTACATTGTAAACTTAGAAAGAATGGGATTAAAGTAATTGTAAACTTTTTTAGTAGGTTCTAATTTTATCAACTACTATGATTGAGAGAAGAAAGTGCGATGAAAGTTTTCATGTCTGTTCTCCTTATTGTAGAAATGTGTGCTATACATTGCATGTGTCATTTTCACTTTTCTGAATTAATAGGTAGTAACAGAAGCATTGCTAGGACTGTCACATCATCCAAGAGATCTGGGAAACAGCACGTATTTATAAGGCATTAATTAGGTTAAAGGAAACTAAGGCATAATAATCACAGAACGCAACTCCTGAAGAAAAAGTTACGAGTGTTGCAGAATCTCCTTTTATTACTTCTGTGGTGGTTTTGGCAAGGATGGAGCTGAGTTGGCAGGAGAGCTGTGCCCGTGGCAGCTGGTGGATGAAGGCCCGGGCATCCAGGACAGCTGTCAGGAGAGGTACCCCCTCCACAGAGGCTGCTAGGCACCCCTTTCTCACATGTCCTCCCCTGTCTCTGGATACTTACGTGTCAACGTAATTATAGTAAAATCACCAACAAATATCTGTACATTTACCCACCGAATGCTGTGTGGGTTTTACCCCCCATATTTTACACAGAGATCCCCATGTGTTGCTGGTGACTTTTTTTAATTTACAACTTCTTACTGAATTTTCATTTCCTTTCCATTTCATAATTCTTAACCCCAAAAGGCTACTCCCCGTGGGGACAAACAGATAGATTTGCACTGCATATTGCAGGAGTCTAAGCCTGCGTCACAGCGATCGCCTTTATTGGCCACAGCAGAGCTGCCTGCCCCAGGGACCCCCTGCAGCAGGCTGCACGGAGGGTGGGCGCAAGTCCCATGCGCCTCAACAAGGCTTGCGTGCTGTCTCACCAGCCCCTCTGGAAACCCAGGCGTTCCTGTGGCTCTTTAAACCTGAGGGTTTTTTCTCAATAATTTTATATCATTCAGTAACCATCCTTGGAGATACAAAATTCAATCCTACTCTTTTGCTTTGTATTCTGCTCTCCCTTAGCAAGGAGAAAGGCTTTGCATTTGGAAAGTAACCGTGGGATCAGTTTGAAGTGTCCCTTAGTGCATTATCAGTGGGAATTTATCTACGCTGGTGTGGATGTGCAGGGAGCTACTAGGTATGATAATTCCCTCCTTAGAACATGAGACAAGATACCCCAACTGTACTTTCTAGTAATATTGAAATGCAAGGTAGGAGAATAGGAAAAATGAAGGGAATTTCTATTTCTGTCTGCCTCGATTTAAATTTTTAACTTCATTTGACAGGGGAAGGAATCTAAGTTTGCTGCTATTAAATTTTGAAAACTTCTTTGAGGAAAATTTTTTGAAATATTTAATGTTAAAATAATTAAAAATGTTTCAAATCCCCTTGATTGGGCAAGAAAGAATAAAGCAGAAAGTTGAAGCTAGGGCTCTGTCACCTGGCTGGGGACCTGCTTACAGTTAGGAGAAGGTTAGAAAAAGGATAATGTTGGGAAGTCGAGAGAACATGAAAAAAAAACCTAGATGCAATGCTTAGTAGTGGTATTAACAAGTCATGCTATGTGACTGCTCAAGTGAAATATAGAGATTTCTAAAGAATGGAACAGATGAGATTTAAACTTGACTGGAATTGAAAACAACTTCTAATGAAAGAAATCTTTGTTTCTCATTGGACTCCATGCATTAGCTGCTAATTAAAGTAGGCTAGTCAGGTGCTGATGCTGGCAGTTCCAGACAAAATAAGCGCGTGGCCACATTTCTTTTTAATGAAGTCTGCATTGTGACCATGCCCCGTTCAGTGTTTGTCACTGAGTTTTATGTTCACTTCAGGCAGTGTTCAGCTTGAGCTGGAAAGATTGTTCCTATGCAGTTTATGGAATGACATTTAAACCCATCAGCATGAAACTTACACTCTAGTCCATTCCTTTTTTCACATGCCCTTCTTACCTGCCAGATGAATGCATGTATGTTGGAGAGTCTTTAAAAAACCTGGTGGCTGGAGTGCATCAGGAAAGTAGGAAACAGGATTTCTCCTCTAACCTGAGATGAGTGTGGACTCCAGCAGCCGGAGCGAGAGCAGCGCCAGGGGATCATCCCGCTTCTCGGAGTGTTAGCTCTGAAGGTGCAGCTTCCTGTGGGAAGGGCCAAGCCACGCACTGTGCCAAAACCAGTGTCCTGCCTGCCAGCTAAGACAGGCTCACAGAGGCTGTTCAAACGGAGCCAGAGTCGGCACACTGGCATGAGGCTGCAGCAGGGCGGTGTGTGACGATGCTGGCGCCAGATCACAAGCCGCCTCCCCCGGGATGCTAGACACTCTCTCTGTGGGATATGGTGGGCAGGTTCTGCAGGACGCTCACCCCAGCTGTCCTGGGGGAGAGACCCCAGGTCTGAGGTGATGCATAAGGCACCTCTGCTGGGAGGCTCCTGGTCCCCACCTCCAGGGCGCAGGCAGTATTCAGAGGAAGACAGGGTGTGTGCCACCGCTGCTGGGCACCTCTGTCCTCCTCCTCCACCCTGGGGAAGCACTGAGGCAGCGTCCACCAGGCTGCAGTCGGTCACTGTTCTGCTCCCACCCGCCTCTTGCAGATCTCAACGAGTGTGGCCTGAAGCCGCGGCCCTGCAAGCACAGGTGCATGAACACCTATGGCAGCTACAAGTGCTACTGTCTCAACGGCTACATGCTCATGCCTGATGGCTCCTGCTCAAGTACGTCCAGCGCTGCAGCCGGTGCGGCAGTGCCTGGGGGTGTGAGTGTGTTCCCCCAGCCCCCCATGGCGGGTGGGGTGCCATGGGGGTGTGAGCCTGTCCTCTCCCTCCCTCCCATGTGAGCACGTGTTTCCATGTGAGCCTCCTGCCCCAGCATAGGCCCAGAGCTGCAGCAGAGGCCTGGCACTTGCTTCTCTCTGGTGCCAGTGTGGCTGGCACTGATCGGGAAATGGTATTTAGAATAAGAATCACAGCACTAAGTGTGTTTGCTGATGTTTTTCGTGTCTTCTGTCTGGGTGTAGAACTGGTCAGGGTAGAGGAGAATGTGAGTGACCATTTGCTGTCCGTCAGGATGGACAGGAAGCTGGGGGATGGTAGAGAGCCCGTCACCCCGCAGATTGAATACGAGCCCTTCACAAACACCCACTTTCTCCATGCTCACAGTTCTTCCTCTCAATTAGTCTACGTGCTGAGTATGACCTTTTTTTTCTTAAAACAAAATCCTTCAACTGAAAAAACACAGAAGCAGCTTTCATGTGTGTCTGTAAGAAAGGCACGCATGGGGGTGCTGCTCTCCTCTGCATGTGTTACAAGGTGGCCGCACTCCACGCGGAGCCAGGAGTTTGTATGATGTGGAACAACTGATGCTGCGATCCTTGTACTGAGACAAGTCACACCCGCTCGCTATCCGTTACCTCCCACTGGGCTGCATTGGATAAAACGGCAGCTTCCTTTAGTTGGCATTGCATGTTTTGCACGGAACTTTCTGAAATGAAGCGAGTTTGTGTTTACAGAGAGGAGGCAGTGATGCTAGACTCTCCCGACACGGCAGCCGCGGGAGATCTGCTGTCCCTAGAGAAAGAGTTGAGGCAGTTACTCCGCTGTTTTATGAAGACCAGCACCTGCATGAGTAATCTGGGAAATCCCCTCAATTCTTGGTTTCCCTTAGCCTGTGAAAATTTCCAGTAATCTATGAGAGATAAGGATTTAGGTGTGTCATTTAATTCTTCATTGTCCCCCAGTGACAGCAGAGCTGGTTCGTTTCTTCTTGGGGGGTGTTTTCTTGCTCCTTCCCAGCCCCCACTTTGATTTTCTCAGACTGCTGGGTAATGGGGTCTCCCCTGCCGCCTTCACGGTGGGCTGGGATGTCCCTGTGGGTGCAGAGACAGCACCTCTGAGCACCCGTCTCTCTCTTCCAGGTGCGCTGACCTGCTCCACGGCCAACTGCCAGTACGGCTGCGACGTTGTCAAGGGCCAGGTGCACTGCCAGTGTCCCTCTCCCGGGCTGCAGCTGGCCCCGGACGGGAGGACCTGCGTGGGTGAGTTATATGGGAGCAGCCCGTAGGCTGGGGAGGAAGCACAGGTCATGGGCTCTGGCAGGTGGTGACCAGCCTTCCAGACTCGGGCGCTCTCTGTGAATGCGCCCTGGACAGAAGAGCGACGGGCAGTGGAGGCGCGGGCAGCGCCTGCCCCACGTTCTTGCCTGGTCTGTGTGGGTTTGACGTGCCCATGAAGCTCGTGGGTATGTCTCATGGTCCCAGTCGGAGTGAGTGAGAGAGAGAGCCCCCCACTGGAATGAGGGACAGCTCCCCAGGGTCGGGTCCCATGTTGACCCCCGATTTAGCTGGGACCTGTGCTCTGGCACGTGTGGCCCTGAGCTGATGTCAGTGGGTTGGAACATGGATGAATGAAAGAATGAATGAATGCTGTGATGGTTTTGTATTAGAAGGGTTTGGGGCCTGCATTTAGGAGCTTGGCCATGATGATAAGACCTGAGACCCGCTCTGGGAACATAACTCTGGTTGACATCGATTAGTTGACGGTCAAATGGCTTCCTCTACATTTTCCGCTTCAAGTCGCACTTGCCAGGACCCTGTGCCAGGGGGGACAGATGGTGCTGAGGCAGGCGCCGGCAGAGGGGAAGGTGGGGAGTTGCCATGGACGCAGCCAGTGGGGGGGTGCGGGGGGTGCAGCTGCTGGATGAGGGCATGGAGAGCCGCCTCAGGCATCTGCAGACCACCCTCCTCAGGCTGGCACCTGCTGTCCTGAGACAGCCACTTTCTCTTTGCAGATGTGGATGAATGTGCCAGCGGGAGGGTCTCCTGCCCCAGATACAGGCAGTGTCTCAACACTTTCGGGAGTTACATCTGCAAGTGCCACGAAGGCTTCGACCTCATGTACATTGGAGGCAAATACCAATGTCATGGTGAGGAGCCACCCACTGCTGCCTCCAGAACGTTCTCTTCATTGTTGGGGCAGGGGTTGCCACTGAACAAGCCGGTTTAACCACCCATCATTCTCGCACGTGGGCTTGACTTCTGTCTGCGTGACGGCCTTCCCAATGGGAAAGTTTCCAAACTCTTGTGTGTGCGCACATGGTCAGCTCCCCCTCCCCCCTCGCCGTGCAGATGTCGACGAATGCTCCCTGGGCCAGCACCAGTGCAGCAGCTTCGCCAATTGCTACAACACGCATGGCTCCTACAGGTGCCAGTGCAAGGAGGGCTATGAGGGTGACGGCTGGACCTGTGTGCGTGAGTATTTGGTCTCCCAGCTTGGCGGGTGGTGCAGGGCCCTCCCAGTCACTGTGGGGGACAGGGCAGACCCGTACCCCAGGAGCGGGTGACTCGCACCATCGTGCATCCTGGCCTGTGCTTTCCAAACAACATAGCTGCCTGCTTGGGGGTGGTGCACGCTAAAGACGAAGCCATGCCTTTCCATGTCAGCCCTCACTTCCCGCACGGCAATGGCATGCCTTCCCTTATGCCGCTGGAAGATGATAGCGCCCTCCCAGAGGATCTGATTTTGTTAAAAGCAGAAATAAACGCTGGTCCTGGTGTGATGGTGGGTGAACATGAATATAGTCTATGTTTTCTATGCTGATGTCTTAGGTCTACGATTCTATTAAAGATCACTCCTATCTGTAGTTTTGTCTACCTGCAGAGCAGTTTTTTAAGTGTTGTTTGGAGCACTGCCTTTGGTTAATAGATAAAAATGAAGAAGATGCCATTGAAGAGGAAAGTTTCACAGACCAGAGGCCATAATTAGGCGTACGTTTCATGTAGCAAGTTAATTTTTTAAATTTCTGGAGTGAAATATTTACTGAAAATCGTGGGGCATAAAATCATGGGGATTAAAGGATTTTTGAAGGGTCAGGTAGACATGCTCCCAGTCTCCACCGTATCATTCCAGGCAGATTAAATATTAATTCCTTTTGGTGAAGATAATCAAGGGAGAGGGTTCCTTGGATGATCTCGGTGACCTCTGAAATTTTTTTCTTAAAAAAGCAATTGTCTAAATTAGTAAGGGGGAAGGAAAACCAACCATAAAACAGTGAGTAGGACATCTTAATCAAACTGTTTTTGCATGTGTCAAATTAACGTTGTCTTTAAGTGGACATTTCTCCTGTTTTGAAAAACTTGGAGTCTTTCCCTATTACAAACCTCATCAGTAGTTCTCTGCTTCACTTTAAAAATAGTTAACTTTCGTGTGTTTTGAAGAATGTCTATTCTTTACAGAAGCAGCGGTGTGATTGTGTCCTGCATGGTGTGTATGCACGGTTGTCTTATTTGGAAAGCAGCATGGCATATGGTAGGGGGATGCCGAAATGTGGAAGTAAGCCCAGTCTGCAGGAGATATTTTGATGTATGTTTTCACAATGCGATGTTATTCTTTGTAGAGATGGTTACACTCTGATTGAAAACTTTCAAATCTTTTAGCTATCCCGAAAGTCATGGTCGAACCCTCAGGCCCAGTTCACATACCAAAGGAAAATGGCACCTCTACAAAGGGGGATGGAGGGCAGAGTAATTGGATCCCCAACGCCGGAAGTACCCAGTGGCCTCCGAGGACACCGTACATTCCTCCTGCTATCACCAACACGCCCACAACTCAGCCGACAACACAACCACCACCGACGCCCAGGCCAACTCCACAGCTGACCCCGCCCCCGCCCCCACCCACAGAGCCCAGGACTCCTCCGCCACCACCAGCAACCCCAGAGCGACCAACCACCGGGCTGACAACCGCTGCACCTGCCACCACCACAGCCCCCAGAGTGGTGACGGTGGACAACAGGATACAGACCGACCCTCAGAAGCCCAGAGGAGATGTGTTCAGTAAGTGATGAAACTCAGCCCATTTGACTAGAATTGAGAAGCAGCATTGTGTGTGAGCATGAGGTGCGTCATTGTACACGAACACTGCGCTGTCCCCCACTGAATCCCAGGTCCTTCCTCCCCGCTGCGGCTCACCTCTTTACCCCAGTTGCCCACCCCTCTGCTCCCTACCCTTCTGGTAACCATTTCTTGCTTGTAGAGTCTAAGAAAATGTTTATCGTTGTTCTTTTTAATTTAGCTGTTTCTGTGCCACAGGTGAGTGAAATCACAGGGCGTCTGCCTTTCCCTGTCTGACTCACTCACTCCACAGAACCCCCCCAGGGCCATCCATGCTGCTGTAAATGGCAGGGTCCTCCACCGGGGTGGCAGCTTTATGCGCCGTGTTGCTTTGAGTCGGCCGTGTGTTGATGGGCACTTTGTTTGTGTCCAGCTGTTGTAAATATCGCTGCAGTGAACATGAGGGTGCAGATATCTCTCTGATCGTGTTTTCTGTATTCAGGTAAACACCCACAAGTGGGATAACTGCTTTGTATGAAACTTGTATCTTTAGTTTTTTGAGGGCTCTCCACACGCAGGATGCAGCCTCTATGGATGCCTCCATCCCCACCCACAGCGCAGGGGGCTCCCACCTCCCCACATCCTCCATGACTCGTCGTTTCTTGCCTTTTGGAGAATAGCCATCCTCGCAGGTGTGAGGAGGGACCTGCTGTGGTTTTGATTTGTATTTCTCTAATAAGAGACCACAGACATCTCGTGTGCCTGCTGGCCATCTGCACGTCTTCTTCAGAGAAGTATCTAGTTAGATCCTCTGCCCAGTTTTTAATTGGGTGGTTTTGTTGTTGATGAGTTTTGTGAGTTCTTTGTTTATTTTGGATATTAAGCCTTTGTCAGATCTGTGATGTTCAAATGTCGTCTTCCATTCAGCAGTGTTTGTTGTTTTGATGACGGTTCTTTCGTTGCGCAAAAGGTCTTTAGTTTGATGTAGTTCCATGCGTTTATCTGGCTCTTGTTTCTCTTGCTGTTGGAGACCAGTCCCCAAGCACGTTTCTTAAGGTGGTGGCAAAGAGTATACCACCGAGGTTTTCTTCTATATATGTTACGATTTCAGTTATAGCGTCTAAATCTTAAATCCTTTTTGAATTAGTTTTGGTATGTGGAGATGGAGCATCATTCTCTTTCTTTAGATTTATTTACCCATACAAGAACTGGGGCACAGGCCAGAGGTATGGGGAATGAGAGGATTCACCAGAGACAGAGCAGGGAACAGAACAGGCACACTGACTAAAATGTACTGCTGAGGGGAGCAGTGAGCGAGACAGGAGAGGTCTGCTGTGCCTTGTGGGAAGCTCTCTGGCTGGGGATCGAACTTGCACTGCAGCAGCTATAGACAGCTTCATAGGTTGTGTCTTAACCCCTTGCGCCACCAGGGAGGTACCTGGAACATCGTTCTTTTGCATGTGATTGTCCAGTTTTCTCAACATTACTTATAAAAGCGAGTTTCCTTGCTCCACTGTAAGCTCTTGGCCTCTGTGTCATAAACTAATTGTCCGGATATGTGGAGTTTTATTTCTGGACTCTCAGGTCTGTTCACTGATCTGTGTGTTCTTATTCCAGTACCATGCTATTTTAATTACTACTGTGTCATCGTATACTTCAAAGTTGGGGTGTGCAATACTTCCATTTTAGTTCTTTTTTCTCGGGATTGTTTTTGCTATTTATAGTCTTTTTTAGTTCAAAATAAACGTCATGATTTTGGGGTCTTCTGCTTTGGAACATTTAAACAGATGATGATGCTATTTCAAAATGCCTTGACTAAGGATCAAATTCATAAAAGGAATTGATTGCGTGTCATATACGCGTGTCAAAATGTCATAAGGAGCTTGTGAAAGACAGCCAGCGGAGCAAGTGAGGATGCGTGCACACAGGGGAGGGCCATCACAGACTCAAGTTGCCGGCCTCAGCTCCAGCGCAGCGCGAGAACTGTAAGAAAGCCGAGTTACTTGAAACCTGCTGGGGATGGTGCTCACTGGAGCATGCGCTGTGGTCAGCTCTGAGCCTGGGGGTTGTTCATGTGGACAGTGAACTCCTTCGTGCCTCGAGGGTGCCGGGCCTGCACCGGTGTTGGGCTTAGAGGCAGGACATGAGGGGTTACCATCTGGTGGCTGGGCCGCAAATTGGGGAACCAGCTTTGTGTAGGACATGAGGGGAGGGGAGAAGCACTGGCCAGTCTTTGGGCTGGGAGAGCTCGGGGGGTCTCGGGGAGGAGGGGTTGAGGGGACAGGGACCTGAGGGTAGCTGGTGCAGAGGCACGCAGCAGAGAGGGGTGTGGCATGTGCGGTCAGCGGGGGCTGCTGAGGAAAGCTGGGCAGTCACGCCTGTGCTCACTGTAGGCTGCTGGTCAGACGCAGCCCAGTGGGGTTCAGGACTCTGGAGCAGATGAGGCGGGGAGGCAGCCCCAGTGGGAGAGGCCGGAGGGGAGAAGCAAGTCTTGAAGGAGAGGAGGCTGCGCCTTCAATACCAGACCAAACTCGCAGCTTCGGGGCTCGCGTCACTCCGTGTTGCCGCCTTTGCCTCCCCGCCCTGCCCCCCGCTCTCTGACGGTCTGTGTCTTCTGTTCTGGCCCCACGGCCCAATCGTAGACGTAAATTGTTTGTGTCCTTTTCAGAGACGGCTTCCCCCCCCCCCCCCCCCACCCCAGGTAAAGAGAATATTGATGTCTGTGACTTTCAGGAATGAAAAGGCTGCTTCTTGCTTGGGACGGTCAGTTCAGCTTTTCCTTTCGGTCATCGTCCACGTAGATCGAGGGTCTCTAGTTCTGATGTAATTGTGTGTGTTTGGGACAATTTATATAATTTTCAGAGGAACGTGATACAGATTTAATAATGCATTTTTACATCCATCTCTTACTTCTTGTGATTTTTCTCCTTTGCTCTACTGTCCTTTTCTATTTGCTTTTATCTCCCCCTGATCATACACAAGTATTTTTATTCTTGAGTACTTGAGTCAATGCATTTGTCACTCTGCTGTCTTAATGTAGGGTCATAAAACTTGCCTATTTGATATTTAAAAAACCTCTCCCGTAGATACCGGCAGTGTTCCGAGTCTCGTAATGTTGCCTCTGTGTAAGAATGAGCTCTCTCTTCCCACCGCTCCTGTCCGAACACACTTATGAATTAAAAACACCCGCCCTGAGGTCCACCCCTAGAATGCAGCAGGCTAACATGGGACGCCCGCAGTTCCGAGGGTGTGAGAGCTCTTGTTCTGAGAGAGCGTGATCTTGAGCCAGGCCCCGGGGAGGAATTCCCTTGAAGGCCTGCCAGGCGCGCATGCCGCAGATAGCATCGCTGCCTGTGCGCACTCGCGCCGGTGCAACTGCCCTCTCCTCACAGACGCAGCTGCTTCACGTGAGCCCGGGGCGGGGGGGGGGGGGGCTTTCTGGCCACTTCCTCAAGGCTCACATTCTACACGCACCTCTCACCTGCCTGTTGAGCCTTCCCAGGTATTTCCAATTAGGGCCTCTTCTATCCTGAGGAGTCGTCAGGTAGCCATTGAACGGAACTTTGTCTAGGATACTGTGTATCTAACACACTTCTTAAATGTAGAATGAGGTGGAGACACAATCAAGTGTCTTTGAAAGGAAACATGGACGCAGTGGAGACCCAGGAAGCTGAGGTGTTCTCATGATGCTCAGCTAGAGCATCTGGCTCAGAGGGGGAGCTGTGTTCTCACCTCCGTCGTGCGTGACTGTGGCTCCTCCTGCGTGCTCTCTTTAAAATGGGTGGAAGATTCCTTGTTTTCCATTCTCAGAGTGGTTTCCAAGAGCAGACATGTCACAAGTAACGTGTATGTAAGTCATTGATTACGCTTTAGCGTGAAGAGTACAGCATTGACTAGGAGTAACTAATGTGATTAAGGAAACAGCCCTTTGTGTGATCCAGTACATTCAGCGGGCACGTCCAAGAAAACTTCCCTTTCAGTGACCACTGCCTTTTAGTTGGAGTGAATGGCTTCTAGTCACATGTGTTTTGGGGAAGAGCCTCCCCATAGGCGTTTTCAGCAACTCCCGTTCCAAGGCCACGTCAGTGTGGGAGGCCCTCGCCCAGGGCCTCCGAGCGGGCTCAAGGGCAGGTGCTCACCTTGGAGAGGGGGACTGTGTGTTTGCGACCTCCTCGGATCAGGCTGGGCCAGACGGTCCCGGAAACCCAGTAGGTGTCTCCCAGCAGCCCTCTTCTGGGAGGCTTCTGAGACCAACGTGCGGGCCGTGGACACTGGGAGAGCCACAGGGGATTTGGGGAGGGCCGAGCGCTGCTGGGCAGACTCAGAGCCAGAAAAGCAGGCTGACCTGGCAGACGTCCCTGCCGGAAGATGCCTTATGTGCACCCACAGCCGAGGACGACGTGGGGGGAGCACTGGGGGGGCTGCCCATTTTGGGGAACACACTATGTGGAAGAACGTCAGCGCCTGCAGTCCCATCAGACCCGGCCAGGGGTGCTCCGCGTGTCTGCCTGTGCCTGCAGGGCTGGCGTCGGGAAGAAAGGCCATGCGTGGGCATGGCCTTGGGTGTCCGGCGCCTCTTTGGGGTGGGTCTCATGGCCTGGGTCACCCTTAGGCGGTGATCTTTGCTCTCTCCCTGCCTGTACTTCGTTACAGCCGCTCCTGTGGCCGTGAGCCCTTCAAGGAGGGGTTGGTGGAAAGGGAACCCCAATAGGAGAGTGAACTAGGACTTTTGAAAAGGTTCCCCAGGGAATTCTGACCCTGAATGGTGTTCATTTTATTTAGAACAAACTGTTTTTTAAGCATTCGTGAAAGATTTCCCGCCTTTCCGTGTTTAACCTGTCCGTATCTTCTTCGCCACTGAGTGTGGGGTGTGGTGCTCGCCGCTCCCGGAAGTGTGGTTGCCGCGAGGACTCCTGGGACTTAGTCGTGGCCAGTGACATGGCACGTGTCACCGGGTGCTTAAGTAAGGTGCGGCTCCTAACCCTTGCAGCGCTGCTGTCACC